TAATAGTAATAATAATAATAATAATAATAATAATAATAAGCCAAGTATTCAATTCAAGAAGTTGGGAAAGGGGCAAAAATACAAACCTCCAAAATTAGGAATTAAATGACAGACAAGGGCAAATATCAATGACATAGAGAATATCATCAACAGAGAAAAATAACACAACCAAAAGACATGTTCCTTGAAAGGATAAATAAGACAGATCTCTGGCAAGCAAGAGTTGTCAAGGAAAAAGAGAGAAGATTCAAATAATTAAAATACAGAATGAGAAGCAGGGGGGCAAAAGTACAGACACAAGAAGATTCTTTAAAAAAAGAATATTAAAGAGTATTAGGAATACCTTATGACAATAAATTCAAATGGATAAATTCCCATTAAATTATGCCAAAATTGGCACAAAAAGAAATAAAGAATTTGAACAGCCCAATTAGAATGAGAAATTAAATGAGCAAAGGTCTTTCCTCTTGAAAAACAGCAGGTGCAAACAATTTTATAATGAGTTCTACCAAATTTTAGGGAACAGCTAATTCCTGTCTTAAACAAGCTATTCTGGAAAAATAGGAAACTGTCAAAAAAACTGACCAGGACATTTCATGAAGCTAACATAATAGTAACTCTAAAAATAAGACGCTGACAAGAAAATGATAGATCCATTTAACATACAAAATTCATGCACTATTACCTAAGTAAATCCAATAGTATATTTAAAAAATAATACCACATCAGGATTAAGTAGGATTTATCCTAGGAATTCAAGGATGGTTTGACATCAAAAATTGATTTAGAGGAGAGAAACCAGATGATATCTCAATCAATAATTAGCATAAAGTTCAGCAAAAGGTAAAATTGTGAAGTTAATAAAAGATTTCATGAGAGAATATCTATGTGATCTAGCAACAGGGAAAAACTTAAAAACCCCTAAAGTGTATGATTAATTTTACCACATTAATATTAAGGGTTTTTGTTCAATGGAAGACACACAAAGTTAATAGACAAAAGACTAAATGACAGAATGGGAGAAGATATTTGTAATGCTTAAAATGGAAAAGAGATTATTATAGAGAAAAGATTAAGAAATTTTTGCATATCAACAAATAGTAACTGTAATAGAGCAATGGACAAATGATGAAAAGGCAATTTACAGAACTTAATCTCGACTACAAAAATAAGAAAGTTGGATAATTTAACTGTTGGTAGGAATGAGAAGACATGAGAAGCCTCATGCATTGCTAGTGGAAGTTAAGACTGGCTAATCATTCTTGCTTGGGTCAAAGCCTTACTTAATAAAGAACTGTTCCTCTGACTTGTCTTGCCCTGTGTGCATATATTTCTTCAGGGGACTTCACAGGGAGCAATGGCTGGGTGAGCACAGGATTTGGGTCTTAGACACTGTAGATCCTAACCAACTATCTCTACCTGAGTCACATCTGATATAAACACATTGTCCACTCAGTCTAAAACACAAGGATGCAAAGATTCCCACTGCAGCCTTCTAAAATAGGTCTGGGTAAGGGTTTACTTTTTGTTAATAAGATCTTAAAACACTGACACAAAACACTGAAAATTGTGGTTGATGGGAAATCACTATCCATATTTAATTTTTAATATAATTTGTGAAGCAAATGTTAACTGTTAGCTGTACTAATCATCATTACACACAGTAGAGAGTTGAAAAACAAAAGATTAGGGAAGATTTGATCTCAGAATCTGGAAACATTAGCAGAAAAGAAATGGAGAAATTTAGCTCCATGAAAGAAACAACAGACAGGAGAAAGGTTTCTTGGGATTTTAACCCAGAAGTATCACAGAATAATCATATAGTCTGCTTTTTTCACTCAAAGGGAATACAATTACTTTTCATCCAAGGAAAAAGAACTTAAACCTAGTCACTACAGGCCTGTTGTTGGAAGGGTATGAATTTCAGGTGAGAAAAAAAGGCTCTTCCTGACTCGTGAAGTTAACTTGGGCAGGCCCCAGAAGTAGTAGTTATGGATGGATTTGAATCTCAGAAGGCATTGAGGATTCCCTGTGGATTCGCCCTTCAGGAGAAAGTGGGAGGTGGTCAAGAGAGAGAAGAGAGAAGCAAAAAGGTCACCAACTCTACATGCAAACTTAGGTTCAGTCTTCAGAGTATGGGTAAAGCTTTTCTCCAGCCTCTGAACAAGATATGTACATCATGACCTGATAAGGTGAAGATCACCAAGATTCAGAGACCAAAATTATTCTTAAATTCCCAGTGTGAAGAAAGATACAGAGCTACCGTATCACTTGGCTGTGATGGTTTTTATCCTTTGGAGTTTGCTAATGAGGTAACTGTTACCCAAACATTTGATACCAAAGAATATTTATCTAGGTTGTCCCCAGGCTCTACACAAATGGCAGATTTCTGTGCTGACAACAATGCCACTGCCTAGAAAGTCGTCAAAGCTGAACTTCAGGAGGCTGTGGGCCTGGACCTACAGAAGGGGCCTGGGTCTTTGGCCACCGCCTGTCAGGGGCTGAGTACAATGCAAACCTATGCTATCTTACTAGAAGAAATTACTGCATAGGTCTGAGATGGCCAGAGAAACTTTTCTTAATGTGATGACAGGCACTTGCTGCAGACAGCTGGGGCTATCTGCTCACTAACCAGAGAAACTGGAAGCTACAAGGAGAAGATATGAATGTCTCCTGGGCTAGGAATTGGGATGCACAATGCATATACATGCAATATGTAACATTTGCTTTGGGTAAAGAAACATGATATTAAAACAAAAATAAGTAAAAACACTCTTTGAACACAAGAGTGAACGAAGATTAATAATCCATTTACAATTACAACACAAAGCAAAGAATCTTTCTAGAAGTCTTAGGAAAAGTTTATGATATTCTTAAGGTTATGGTTTGTTTCAATAACAAACTTCAAAACCTTAAATGGTGCAGAAAGTACTAACATCCTAACTGTAACCAGATTTTATATTATCCAAAGAGAAGAAAAGTTGGTTGAAATATCCTAAAAAACACTGTGATTTTTAAAAGAGCAAATTGCAATTTTCCTAAATATCAAGAGGGCAAGAAATGAGAAACAGCCATGTGGTTTCACAAACTCTCTATTTAGAGGCTAGCAGGAAAGAGAAATTTGTACCAGATACTGAAGAAGGATTAAGGCTGTTCCCTCAGTCAGGGCTAGTAAGGAAGCAATATAAATAACAGTATGATAGTAAGACTGTAAAAAGCGTGAGGAAAAAGCATGCACACAGTGAAATGGTAAAGCACTCCATGATATTTACTTGTAAGAGAAAAGGGGAATTACAGTGGAGGACAAATCAAGAGTAGGTCTGGCATCAGAATTTCCCAAACAAAGGGCAAAGTGAATTATTAGTATCCACCCGGGCATCCACTCTGCCATGACTTCCATCCATCAATATTTCCTTGACCTTGAATTATTACCAACCACTAATGAGAAATCAAGGCATCTTATCCCTTCAACTTGGAACCCAGGGGAAAAGAGGTTGCTGAGGTCTGCCAAGTACAATCACCAGAGCTAGGTTTCCACAAACTAGTTTTGGGCCAAATATTCAGTAAGATTTAAAGTGCTCCTTTTCCTGGCTTTGTCCTACAAGTATCTCTCTCCTTTGGTGATCTTGTTGATGAGGGATTTGGCTAGTTAGGGACCTGCTTATTACCCTCTCTTCTCATAGAAAAGACATGACTCACAGTATTGAGGCCATTACGGTAATAAACATGCACTCTCAGAACAGGGTCACAGTATCCAACTGTTTTTAAAGGAGGAAAGAAGAAACATCAGAAGAATGAAATTTCAAGGAATAATATCCAAATTAAATCACTGGGCCCTGGACAGTGAAACCACTAGTTACCTAAGCAGGCCATAAACAAAAGGAACCTGGGTGCTCTCAGGTCAGTACACCTGGTGGGGCAGTGAGGAAGCAGTAGCCTTTTTTTTTTCAAAAAAAATTTCAAAGTTGGGAAGTCCTCTGGAAGAGTCGTACTTTGGCACACATGCATTCAGAAAATGCTCACTGCCCCAGGTCACTGCCTCTGTCAGCAGTGGAGAAACAGAGTGATCCTTATGCCGTCACTTCCTGAAATCACCTCCAGCTAGCTTCAGGATGCCCGTGAGGTGTGCTCACCAGGCTCTATCACAGGGTGTCTGCTGAACACCCTCCTTTAGTAATCTTCTGGCGTTTCCTCTAGCCTTTCACAGGGACTACGCCAGAAACGTCTTCCTGATTAAAAAAAAAAGCTCACAAGCTAGCCAGCCTAGCAAGGTCACTCTTTTCCATTTTGTAGTATACGTAAAATTCAGTTTGTCTGGAAAATGTATAACCTGCTGCGCTTAGAGCCTCTTAGAAATCTATACATTCTATATACCAATCTTTATTGCTACTTTCCCTTAAGTTTCCCAGAGTGTGGTCAGGTAGGGCCCTTGGTCACAGCTCCTCACCCCTATACTTGCAACTGCCTTCTTCTGCATCCAGAGGACCCATGGCTTAGATTTTGATCAGTGAAAATAAAACTGGCTTTTTTAAGGTTAAGAATCAAAACACTCTGTAAAGATAATCTACTTATCAAATTCAAGGAGACCCCACCACCAAGGACAAAAATACTTTTAAATGTACTGAGTTAAAAGAAAAATCCAGGGTAAAATGAAGTGCTTATTTTGTAAGGATTTTAAAGATCAGTTTAATTCTGTTGATATCAACCACAGGGTGGGATTGGAGTCATGACAGGAAATTTCAAGGTCAGCTATCAACACAACTCAAAACCTAGTAGGAAATGACAGCAGTAACCACTGACCACATGAACCACCACCAGCAGCATTTCTGTCCCCTCCTCATAACCAGCATCTGGAAGCCTGTCAAAGATCTCCCTTTCCTAAAAGCCACCACGCTTAGAAATTGGGAAGGTAGCAATGATATTGTGTGACAGAGTCTACAGAACAAAGAGAACTTCAATACTTAGTTTCCTACAATAAAATGTCAGAGATCCGTACTCACCTCTTTCATGAACACCGACTGAGAGTTTCTTAATATCATCAACCAGAACATTCTGTGTGTTGCCATGTCCATCTTCTAAGTCGCTGTCATCAAACTGAGCCTCTATAATGACATCAGGACTCTCACTATAGCCTTTCGGGGACTGTTGTGGAAGAGGGCTTCCACAGAGCTCTTCGGGGAGATACAATTCGTAGGCACCTTCTGTTTCTTTGTCGTTGCTCTCTGGCTTAATTACCTGAAGAAAATAGAAAAGTTCTGCTAAATCATTGAAGGAAAGAAAGGGAAAGAACAGGTTTTTCTCTTTCCATTGTTCTTTTCTAAGGAAAAAAACTACACATTCAGAAGCTCACTGCACTGGACACTTACCATGTAGTTTGAAAAACGATCTTTATTTTCCAGATGCACAGACTACCTTATGGAAATGATCAACCAGGTTGGCACTCAGCTCTTCAAGATGCCCAAGATTAATGCCACATCCATTTCTCATTTTTCTGATGTACATTTCATCCCCTCTCTCTCCTAATATCAGAAGTACCATGTTGCTCCAAAAGGGTGCATCACATGGAATCAATTAGTATGTTGGGAAGTGATAAAAGAACTCAACACAGTATGTTATTGCACTCCCAGATGAAACCACAAGAATATAAGATGAAATGGAAAAAACATTAAGTGTGAACAAAATTTATAAAATATTCCCATAAAAAACACAAACCTTTAATTCTCCATTTTGAGGCCTATATAAATCAGTATAGAAAGAACACAACTGATGGATATTTGCACTAACAATGAGAATGAAGCATTACACAATATGTAAAATGTTTCCAATTACAAAAATGAAGCAAAGAATCCAGATACTAACCCACTTAATGAGTATGTCACATGACAGTCATATTATAGTATTCTGATTTCTAGGGGCTCTATATTAAAATACACCAGGTGTTGTTTAGTCACTGGAAAAAAAGCAACCTTATACATAAATCTGCCCATCTGCATTAGCAAAAGAGATAATAGCAGTTTTGTAGGTTCTAGATATTACTTAGAACACCACATCTTTTATATATGTGTGTGTGTGTGTGTGTGTGTGTATAAAATGTAAAAACAGAATTTGATCACTATTGGTAGCACATTCACTTCATTCTTTTGAACACATGCTGGAAGGCCAACCCAGTGACAGGCACCTTCATGAGGCCTCCATTCTAGCAGGGAGACAGATGGTGAACAATTTACTCATTCAACTAATCTTTACAGAGTACCTTTCACAGTGCAAGGCAGTGGTGTTGTAGGGGACAGTAGTGTACACAATCAAAAATCTAAAAGTGATAAATACTAGTAAAAAAACACATTGTACAAAAATGCTGGTTATGAAAGAGTGAGGCTGCTTTGCTAGAGAGTAGTTAGGGGGTGCCTCCTGGAGGATGCAACATTCGAGCAGAGACCTGAATGAAGCGAGTGAGCTTCCCTCGCTGTCTCTCTATGTGTTTATATTTGAGAGGTCTAAAATTTTTTGTTTAACCTTGAGGTTTCAAAATAGATGCTTGCCTTCAACAAATCGGATTAATGTTTGAATTAGGTCACACAAAGATCATGGCTAACAGAAGATCTTCATCTCATATGAGGCAGAAAATGTTATTAAAGGAAATCTTTCCCAAAACATTTGAATGTCACAGATTCCAATTAACATAACTATCCCCTCAAAATATTATCATACCCACCCAGAAAAATCAAAGTAAAATATTAAAAAGGTATTCACAATCAGAATACAGACTCTAAGAATATATTCCCAAAGTTTTTATAAAAGTTGACTTCATGAAAATGTGATAACGGAAAAACTTGTAAACAATGGTTAATTTTTCTGAGCAAAATTGTGATTTTTAATAAAACTTTTTGAAAACCTGATTCCTATTTCTGAATATATTTAATGAAATCTTCTTTCAACTCTTAGCACATTTTGACTCTTGTCAGATTCACTCATTTGTACCTTCACTCGTTTGTTCATTTGTAATTACTTCTATAAAAAGTTTAAAATAAACAAGGTTCTTTGATGGTAAAAAAAAAAGTTCCAGCTAGGCCAGGATTCTCTAAAAAGATTCCCTCAGGCCCCATCCTACATGAGAACATATGAGTGAAGCCACAGCTAATTCTATAAATTAATATACAATTATAAAACCAGCTCTCCTCTGTGCACTTCCGCCTTGCCACATAAGTCCTGCTTTCATACCTGATCCAAAGTAGATCATTCAAACACTAGGGAATTCACTGATGAGGAGTTAGAAAAAAAAGAATTTGGTATCACTCAAATCACCAGATCTACTCCATTTCCTTAAATGTGCCTAGGAAATACTGTATTTGGGAAAATCTGACCATCCCCCAAGAGTCAACACAACTTTGGATGCTTTCAGAACAGCCCAAAGCACAGCCAGGAGGCTCATATATGTACTCCATATACCTACAGTGCTACGTGATCACTGACCTGCCACTTTTTCCATTTTATCCCCAGAAATACTTTACCTTAGAGAGAAAATAAGTGGGAGCAGGGGTAAATGAAAACAAATGAGATGCTCGAGTTAGACTAGCAGGTAAAATGTAGTTTTCTGTAAAGATGAGTTAAGCATGGTCCAGAACTTTAGTTTCTATTACATATGTATTTCTGCCACTAATCATTTCACAATGGATTTGGCTCCCACAGGTCATGGAGAAAATATTACAAGGGCAACTAGAAATCTGACTTTATCAAATTTGAAGGCTTAACTATCCCACAATGAAAGACAGTCTTTCTCTGTAGATATGTATATACTGTGTATGTAAAATATAATGAGAATTCTGTAATCACTGTGAATCTGCCTACCTACATATTAAGAATTGTGCTTTGGCTCACACAGAATTCAAGTAAAAGACAATGGGAAGAGATGAGCAGGAAGCAATAACCAGGGTACAGCAAGCTTAATTATATATAGCACATTTTAAAACCAAACCAGTTCTGGCTTTACATAATCTCTAAGATTTAGATTACCTACACTCAAGAATTAATGTTTCAACGTTTGAATTAGATCACACAAAGATCACGCCAAATCAAAGATCTACATCTTACACAAGGCAAATTGCTAGAAATGTACAATCTTCCAAGACTTCCCCAGGAAGAAGCAGAAAATCTGAATAGACCAATTACCAGTAACAAAACTGAACTGGTAATGAAAAACTCCTAACACACAAAAGTCCAGGACCAGATGGCTTCATGGGTGAATTCTACCAAACATTTAAAGAAGAGTTAATATCTACCACTCTTGAAGTATTCCAAAATATAGAAAAGGAGGGAATACTTCCAAACTCATTCTATGAGGCCAGCATCACTCTAAAATCAAAACCAGACAAAGACACTACCAAAAAAGGAAATTACAGACCAATATCTCTAATGAAGAAAGACACAAAAATCTTCAACAAAATATTAGCAAAGCAAATTCAAAAAATACATTGAAAGGATAATCCATCACAATGAAGTGGGGTTTATTCCAGGGATGCAAGGATAGTATAATATTTGTAAATAAATCAATGTCATATACAACATTAACAAAAAGGATAAAAAGCACATGATCATCTCAACAGATGCTGAAAAACCTTTTGATAAAATTCAACATCCATTAATAATAAAAACTTTCATGAAAATGGGCATAGGGGGAACATATCTTAACATAACAAAGGCCATATACAACAAACCCACAGCTAACATCATAATGGCAAAAAGCTGAAAGCTTTTCCTCTAAGATCAAGAACAAGACAAGGATGCCCACTTTCAGCATTCTTATTCAACACAGTACTGGAAATTCTAGCCACAGCAGTCAGACAAGAAAAATAAATAAAAGGTATCCAAATTGATAAGGAAGAAGTAAAACTGTCATTATTTGCAGATGACAATATACTACATACAGAAAACCCAAAAGACTCCATCAAAAAACTCTTAGAACTAATAAATGGATTCAGCAAAGCCTCAGAATACAAAATCAATACACAGAAATCTGTTGCAGTCTCAAAAAGAGAAAGAACCAAAGTACTAATAAACTAGCAACAAGCTAGCAGAAAGAGAAATCAAGAAAACAATTCTATTTACAATTACATCAAAAAGAATAATATACCTAGGAATAAACATAGCCAAGGAGATGAAAGACCTGCACTCTGAAAACTCTAACACATTGATGAAAGAAGACACAAATAAATGGAAATCTATCCTATGCTCACAGATAGGAAGAACTAATATTGTCAAAATGGCCAACCTGCCCAAAGCAATTTACAGATTCAATGCAATCCCTATCAAAACACCCATGACATTTTTCAATGAACTAGAACAAGTTACACTAAAATATATATGGAACCATAAGAGACTCTGAACAGGCAAAGCAATCTTGAGAAAGAACATCAAAGAACAAATCACACCACAATGAGAAATAACCTAACACCAGTTAGAATGGCCACTATCCAAATGACAAGAAATAACAAGTGTTGGAGAGGAAGTGGAGAAAAGGGGACCCTCCAACACTGTTGGTAGGACTGCAAATTGGTGCAACCATCATGGAAAGCATTATGAAGGTTCCCCAAAAAAACTAAAAATAGATATACTATAGGACCCAGTAATTCCATTTCTAGGAATTTACCTGAAGAAAACAAAATCTCGGATTCAAAAAGATATATGCACCCCTATGTTTATTGCCACATTATTGTGATAGCTAAGATATGGAAGCAACCTAAGTGTCCATCAATAGATGGATGGAAAAGGAAGATGTGGTACATAATATGCAATGGAATATTATTCAGCCATAAAAAGAAAGAAATCCTTCCATTTGCAATAACATGGACAGACCTAAAAGAGTATTATGCTCAGAGAAATAAGCCAGGCAGAAAAAGACAAATACAATAAGATTTTATTTATATGTAGAATCCAAAAACAAAACAAAATGAACAAAAGAGCTGTAGACTCATAGACACTGAGAAGTAACTGGTAGTTACAATGGAGGAGGAGTTGGGGTGAGAGGGTGAAGCAGGTGAAAGAGATAAAGAGGCACAATATTCTAATCATAATATAAATCAGTCACAGGGATAAAAGTACAGCATAATTTTGTTCTGTAACATCTTTTTATGTTGACAAATAGTAACTACACTAGTTGGGGTAAGCATTTAATAATGCTGCTTGAATCACCATATTGTATACTTGACACCAGTAAGATATTGTACATCAAATACTTCAAT